ACCCCCCCCCTGTTCAAATTTGAATTTGGCCCGATCTGGACCGTCGATCGGATGGATCCGACAGCCCAGGTCGGGCCTTAAAGTTTTCAATTTTTTTAGGCCCAGCTCGCCTCGGATTGTGGCCCTTGTGGGGACCGAGGTTCAGCAGGGCACCTCACCTCCACCACCACCCTGCCAGACCCCCATCAGCCCCGTAGCGGCCTGACCCCTATTTTCTGCAGGGGCCGGACCTCTGTCATGAACCATTTGACCCTTGTTGAAAGCAGGAGTTGAACCCTCGGCAATCTGCGGGAGTATTGATGCTTCCTGTCATGAACCATTTGACCCTTGTTGAAAGCAGGCTGTCCAGTGTCCACAAGCAGAACAGAGCAGCAGGCAACAACTCAGTGAAGCACCAGGCAACACTGACAGGGCAACCCAACTGCACAACACCAAAACTAACTGCATGAACGGCAGTGCAAGGGGACTAGCAGCACGGCATCAGCAACACAGTCATACAATGAACACAAAGCATGACATCAGCAACACAGTCATACAATGTACACAGCGTCTGCAGCGAAAGACAGACGAAGCAAGCAGGAAGACAGGAAAGCAGTGGAGAGCAGACACTGAGAAGGCAGTCTACACTCCCAACATGGAGCAAAGCAGCACATCACCTACTCACATCACGAGCGAACCCTGCAGGGCTGCAGACTGTTGGTTCCCAACAGGACCCAACTTCCCAAGTTCCCACAACCTGCTTAAAGCAACGGAGTCACTCTGACGGACGTTTCTTATCACCCATAGACCATAACACCATATGCACCCCACACGGCACACAGACATCACAAACAGAGCGGCACTCATGACAGTGTTATCGCCATTCCAAACACCCCAACAGCGACTGTTTAGCAATCCGTAAAGGTACTAACCCAGGGACATAAAGTACATAGAAAAAAACAGGGGAGGCACCCATAACAGTGTTACAGCCATTCCGAACACCCCAACATCGACTGCTTAGCAATCCTTAAAGGTACTCAACCAGGGACACAAAGTACCTAGAAAAAAAACAGGGGAAGAGGACATACAATATACAAGATGAACGACATACAAGCAAAGAGGAGGACATCATGCATTATGTATATACGCGATGATGCCACCCATACGAAGCAGGCTTAGACCAAACTGACAGAGGCATGATGATCACTGTAGTGTTCGTATCCAAATTTTTGTAGGGGAGCAGTTGCCATCCACAGTGCCGTCACAGTTTCTAAATTCTAAGAGCTTGCGAAAAATAGAGAGAGTTTGAGAGTGGTTCTTCTGTGAATGCCATCATCCCAGGGCCCAGAGCGAAAGCCGAACTAAAGCTTCAAAAAAGAGTCCCGAAGTATATATATTATATACATTACTTGTTGAATCCTCAGAAGCATCTTGAGGTCAAAGTCAAATTCAAAATGAAAACGAAGTTGGCTGCTCACAAGTATATCGAGGTCAAAATCAAATTTTCAAGCTAAGGCAATCATCATAGTCATGTGCCTCAAAGAGTCAAAGTATCTCCCTCCCTGACCCGAAGTCTAATCTGACGCCTTCAAAAAGATGTTGCTTTTCCTTTCCTACCTCATCGAGAAGAATCTGCCGCCGACTACTTCAGCGGTTTCACACCTTCCTTCCTTCTTTCCCGAAAAGCCAAAGGCCAAGGAGATTGCTCCAGAGTCCAAACGCTGTAAGCAACTGCCTAAAGCAGGAGACAGCAGAAAAGGAATGTCCACTCCCTAGGGGGAGAAATAATCCCTTTCACTCCCACCGCAGTGGAGGTCTCGCTTTGACTAGAGCAGTGGATGGCTGTGATAGGTACTACTACAGACATGCAGACAAACAAAATGGATAATCCTAGACGGCTTGAGTCACGTGATAGCTAGCCTGTGCCGAAATCTGAATGTGTTGGATGGCAGCAGTTATTGCGACGGAGCCCAATGAATATGACGACAGGAGACGCCCAAAAAGAGGTTCTGAATCGGAACTACAGCTGAGGGCCAGCAGCCAGGATGCGCTTGGTGAGCTCATCGTCGCCGCCCACACTATGTGTGGTGAATTTCTTGAAGTTGTTACTGAACAGCCCTGCCAACTTCTTCAACGTCTCGTCGTACGCAGCCTTGTCCGCCCACTGCAATCCAAAATGCAGACAGAAGACAGAAGACAGAGACAGAAGAACCACCGTCAGCCAAATGCATAAGCCTCCCGCGTAAAAAACGCATGATGTATATTACACCAGACCAGAGTACGAAGCAGTTAGTAAGAAAATCAAATGCCTAAAGTTTGATTAACTCCCAGAAAAGTTCCGGGAACAGCTCCTCCCCAGTACTCGTACGTCATCGAATTTCATTCAATCATAGCTTCATTTCTTTGTGCACTGTATTACTGTCCTACTCAGGATGTTCCAGGGTGTCCATCAGGGCATCAGTTTCACTTCGAGAAGACGTGACACAGATAGTGCAGGTATAGTGCGGCCCCTCCACCAGGTGTTCTATCCACCGTCAATGGTTTGGACAGCGCCAGTAAACACACGCACGCACGCACGCACGCACGCACGCACGCACGCACGCACGCACACACACACACACACACACACACACACACACACACACACGTGGAAAGTTTCTTGGTGGAAGGGCAAGCAATACCCACCATTTCCCTTGGTCGCAGAACCTCGTCGGGAACACCGCTGACTTTGTCCGGGACTTGAAGGTTGAAAATGGGAGTCGTGGAGAAGTTGGCAACCTCGAGCGAACCGTCGTGGATTGCGTCAATAATCTTCCTTGTCTGTGAGAGCTTCATTCGGGAGCCAACGCCATAGCTGCACAACACGCGCCGGTAAGCACGTACACACACACACACACACACACACACACACACACACGAAAAATGGAAAAAACAGAGGCATATACGGACAAGGAGTTAGGTCTCGCACAGATCGCCATTGCTAGGTGTCGAACCAATCAAACATGGATCGAGTCTCCCAATCATGCAAGACAGTACTTGAGCCCAACCGACGCAGTGATTGTTGCGGGACGGCGGCTCGGCTCAACAGACTTGAGCCGAACGGACATCGCGCAACAAGCTCTGCGTTCCGGTTTTCATGAAGCTATGTCCAAACGAGAGGGGAAGATCTGCTGTGAAACACGGTCTCTATGTCATTAGAGAAGATGGGAGTCTCTTTTCCTTTCCTTCAAGTTGTTACGAACCTTCTCTCTCGGTTACTTTCGACCCTGCCATCAGATGCATCATCGACACATACACGAGGACGGAAAACCAGCCGGATAAAAAACAGCAACCCTACGCCGACAGCCAGGTGCAACCCATGCACCTGGGCTTATGTATGTATGTATGTTTGTAGGCATGTGTGTGAACTGCATTTATGTCTATCTTGTCACGTCATTATTCCCACAGCGTCCGAACAGGATCTTTGCAAGCCCCCATAATATAATACTGCGGAACACCGCGATCAGACATGTTCGCCCAGTTCTTATAATATGTGTTATTATAGCCCTTCTAGCGGTGTTGTGACGTACCTGCCTCCAACCCATCCGGTGTTGACGAGCCATGCGGTGGCCCCGTACTGCTTCATCTTCTCGGCCAACATGGCAGCGTACTTGGTCGGGTGGTACATGATGAACGCGGCGCCGAAGCAAGCCGAGAACGTGGCCTTGGGCTCCTTAATCCCCACCTCGGTTCCCGCAACCTGCCACAAAGGCAGGATCGCTGATCAGCCATCAAATCAAATCGCCACCAGATGTTCTTTGGGGCCACGTCGCCGACAGCAACAACAGTTACAGCATGAAGCAACCATTGGACGCACTCAAAACACAGCAGCTGCATCTCTAACGAACAGCGCAGTTAATTAACAGCAGACTGAGTTTGATCAAAAAAACGACGGACCCAACCAAGTGGAAATGAGTTGCTCTCTCAATAACTGGACGATTAAAAAGCCACTGGCAGCCAGATCTCTCGGCCTCAAAAAAGTCTGTATGCCCCGGGGGGCATCAGTAACTTCCCAAAAACACAACTCATCGCAGAAGGACGGGCTCTACGGAGCTAGCATTTGGAGGCTGAAGAAAGTGGATCGACAGCAAATAGAATTCGAATAGAGGCCTGCCAGCCTCTTGCAACGAAACCAAAAAAAAGCCAAGGTATACTTTGGTAACGACTGCGATCCCCTACGACCGACTGTGAGGGACGGTCCCGATTCACTCACCAGAGCCGTGTAGCCGCTGATGAAGTGGTACATGGCTTGGGCATCGGTGAGCTTGCTGACGGGTGGCAGCACTCCAAAGGCATCGCACGTCAAAAGAATGACGTTCTTGGGATGGGGTCCCACGCATGGGATCTTGGCATTGGCAATGTGCTCGATCGGGTAGGACGCCCTCGTATTCTCTGGGTTGTCCACAAAGCGACACACAAGGAGACAGCGAAACAAAAAAGACAGGCTTCAGCAATTTACAGCAAACATGAACGGGCTGTAGGGTCAAAACCCTGGCAGATCGCTGCACTTCTTCGAGCACGGCAACAAAGTGAAAGAAAATCCACAAGGGGAAAACTGCCGTTATTATATGGGTGTGGACTTGTGATGTAATATGTATGATATCAAATTCGTTACACCATGTCATACAAGCACTTGACCCCGCCGCGGCAAGCGAGGTTTTTGACTGCCCACTGGATGCAGACACCGACAGTCGACCAGACCTCTCTAGGCCGAAATCGCTCGTGAGGAATCTGGCCTTACTTCAGTTTGTGTTTAAGGTGACGTGTCGTACCTGTGATCGACTTGTCGGCATAGTCGACGACTCTGGTCTTCTCRTCGTAGACGACGTTCTCCAGCACTGGAAGTGAGAACATGCAGCACAGGACACCAATCAGACAACCAAAGGCGACGGGGAGTTAGCAGAATGCACGAATTCTGTCCAGGATCTCATGAACAGACCATGAAATGAACTACCCAGGGAATCAGATGACAGATGGGTAGAATAACATCGGTGGCGACCTTGAAAACAAGAAAGGAAGGTAGGATTTCGAAATTCGCAAAAAAGAAGTGCTATTTTTTCAACACATGCACAAAAGAAATAAGTACTCGACGCCGCACGAGCGCTTTGGGGCAAGGAAATCTTTGCGGGCCCCGTGTACCTGTTCCGAAGCGGATGGCGTGGAAGATATCCGGCTCCTTTTCCGCTGAGAGGTCAATGCACTTGGCATAGCAGCCTCCCTCGATGTTGGAAATTCCGCTGTCGCTCCAGCAGTGCTCGTCGTCTCCGATCAGAGGACGACGGGTGTCGGCCGACAGCGTTGTCTTGCCGGTTCCTGCAACAACCCAAGCCGGACAGTGTCTCGTCAGTTACCTTCTTCCTTCAGACTGAGCGTCCTTTTCAGAAAGGGACCGACCACCAATCATCCCGAATATAGACGTGTGCACCGCAGCTCCTTTCTTTTTTTTTTACCAACGGTGCTATATAGCGTGTTTAGAAAGTTTCCCAACGGACATGATGTCAGGGTCCGAAAGAAAGATGTATTCTTGCAACGAAAGTGGGACCCCGCCCGCCCGCAAATATTGTTGCTCTGAAACTACCGGGACTGCAAGGAAAGACGTATTTTCGCAACAAAACTTGGGCCCCGCCACCATTTTCGCTGTTAAAAACTACCGCGAACGCGCTATTTTTGGAAACCTACCCTTCTTTACGTCTGGGTTGTGTCTGTGTACCATCACAACAAAGAGAGCAAACAGATGCGATCCAAAACCATGCAAATCTCTGTGACGATTATGTTCGAGTTTCTTCTGATCGACATGAAAGCATGGCCGCATTTGTCTTCTTGATCAATGCCCGAGAGACCTCTGACATCTGCATCTGATGAATGATCTTAGCTGCCAGATATGGATTCGCGAGGAGACGGTTGGCTCGACTACCGTCTCCACACGAATGCTTAAGGAACTCTTGGCCCGAAGGAATGGGCGACGGTGAGATAGAATCGTCATCGCGATGGTTACCTGAGAGCCCGAAGAAGACGGAGACTTGACCGTCGGGCGAGGTGTTGCATCCGGAATGGAGGGACAGGATCCCCCGCTTGGGCATCAGGTAGTGCATCAGTCCGAACAGGCCCTTCTTCATCTCCCCGGCGTACTGCGTGCCCAGGATGACCATCTCCGCCCTCTTCAGGTTGATGTTCACGCTAGTGGAGGTCGTCATGAACTTGGTCAGCTTGTTGGCGGGGAACTTGCCGGCGTTGAAGATGGTGAAATCTGGGACGAACCCCTCCAGCTCGCTCGCCTCCGGCCGAATGCACCTGCGACCAGCAGCGAAACGAAGCCACGTGTCATGACAGGTCTGTCAGTCACCTCATGCGTCCATCATTGCGTCCTTCTGATCGCATCAAACGAAACGGCGGCGTTGGATATCCGCCTCCTCGTCAGTGCAATTGCAATGTCACTGCAGCAACTGGCATGATCCCCGAGTCATCATCGACGGACATTATAGAAAGGACTCTTTCACAAAGCACAGAAAAGCCCATTATTTGTTGTGATATTCGCTATCCCCTCTAGTGCTGGTCAGGTGCCTCAAACTCCACTTCAAAACATGCAATGCTTTGGGACATAAGCTGTGCGAGCATTCGCGTTATGTCCGATGTTCTCCTCCAGCACAGTCACACGAACTCGGTGACATGATATCCAAAATAGGAAAAAGAGCAAAGTTTATCTGCTCCTGTTAGATGATGACGGCCGCAGCATTCATGAATGCGTGTCAAAACGTAAGCCTCAGCAAATGGATGGGCATCTCTTACATGTTCCTCATGAAGAGGGAGTGGTACGCCCTCTCTGCGACGATGCGGACCTTGATGCGGTTCTGCTTGTCCCAGTTAAGAAACTGATCGTTCACAAACACCTGCAATGCACCAGCGGGCGGAAAACGAGAAAGACAAGCCGTCATCAGCAACACTCGTGACTCATCATCACTCGAAAACTCCGGAATCGTTGTGACGAAATTCAACCGCCAATTTTGTTTCCTGATGTCGTTTGACAATGAACTTGAAGGGTCACAATAAAACACACAGGGTCATGAATCACACAACTTGACAGAAGCGTATCACGCACAACACAGCACAACAGCTCGTGAAGAGCGCAACAGGGAGTAGAAAAAATAGACAGAAACTCGAGCGCAGACCGGGTCAAAATTGAATCGTGAGTCTCGTGACGCACAAAGCCGGCGTACAAGACCCGACGAAGGCAAAGATGACTGCCACAATCGAAGAGACTGCTGCCTCGACCAGCGTAAATAGAGAGAAAACAAACAGCAGGAGGTATAGATCCGAATCGGATGGCAAGGAAGATGTTTTGAGGAGTATGCTCAGCTGTTGTGATTACCTTTTCCAAGGAGTTGAGGTAATTCAGCGTACGCTCCCTGTTGACCAGGAAAGTGGCATCGTCGATCTCGATGTTCGGCGAGCCTCTGACAAGCAAACGCAACAATATATACACACACCACCAGCAATATAGAAGAGTGCACGGACACAGTTCAGCACGTAGAACATCGTTGCCAGGGAGAACCAACACGAGCAGCAGCAGGACACAGCACGCTGAGGACGGACAAGCAATAGATGATATCATCAGAACCCTTCCTCCGCTCGATTCAAACAACCAATTATGGGTGCAGAAAAAAGAACCGCAGAATTAAGCCCGCAAACGTGAGAACCCATCAAGCAAGTCCATGTCTATATCCAAAACCCCACCTATTGTCTGAGGAACCAAATTGAATGTGGATATCACCAGTGTCACTTTCATTCACTCGTGCGATCACATTTTAATCTTCTTTTCTGTATGCTGACTTCCCCCAAAAGACCAGACCAGGGAGTACCTGACTCGGTGAGTAAGGGGTTAAACAACCCATGACAATTTCTGGTGGAAGAATGAATCTACCTGTTTTCCCCAGATAGGATACATACCGCCTGGTTCATTTAGATCTGATGGAATCGCCCTTCTCGCGGACTTCGCTTCCCTACTTCCCTCCCCGGTTCCTAGGCAGATTCACCTTTCAAGGTCGCTAAGCCGCCAATCGACAGGTATTATGCCATAATAACGAGGACCACGAAAGATCGCCATAGCAATGAATTGTTGCCGGCAAGTGCGTGCTTGGCTCCGTCGTCTGACAATAGCTAACACCTTGCGGTTTGGCTAGCCATTAAATTTCAGTCAGAATGTTTGACTCTCACGTGTAGACCATTTGTTGGCCATATAGTCTCTCGCCGTTTCAGATCGCTCATTCAAAGAGAGAGAGAGAGAGAGAGAGAGAGAGAGAGAGAGAGAGAGAGAGAGAGAGAGAGAGAGAGAGAGAGAGAGAGAGAGAGAGAGAGAGAGANGAGAGAGAGAGAGAGAGAGAGAGAGAGAGAGAGAGAGAGAGAGAGAGAGAGAGAGAGAGAGAGAGAGAGAGAGAGAGAGAGAGAGAGTGCGGGGAGGAAGGGGGAAGAACGGATATCTCATAAGTGACTGCGGGGAAAACAGGACCGACAAGACAACAGGGATGAAAGGGAAGAGGTCAGAGGCAACGGACAGGCGATGCAGTGCGGACACTTACTCTCCCCACCAGAGCTCCTGAGCGGTGGTCTCATCCTTGACGACGCGCTTGTCCTTGGGTGAACGACCGGTCTTCGCGCCCGAAAGCGTGGCGATGGCTCCCGTCGATGTAATGAATGATCCCTTCTCGTGCGTCAGTGCCTGCTCGTACAGCTCTGCCGTTTCATCGTTGTCGATGATTTGGGTAATGAGGAACGCAGAGGCAAGATCAGAAGCACAGCCAAAGAAAACGACGACTCATAATCAGCTCGAGAGAAACGATGTGTCCATCCATGCTCGCGTAGGACCGCCAGGTCAAGTAGTGAATGACCCGACGCCCTTGTAAGTTGTTCCAGGACGGGCGGCATGGCGAAGGTATGACTCTACCGTATCTGAATCTGAATACCACCGTCTTGAAGCGTCTTCACCCGAATAGAATGCCCTGTCATTATAGCCGTATTTGGAGCAATTCCAGTCCAGAATCCAGATAGAGCTATAATGACTGGCGTCCGGTTCGGGTGAAGACTCTAGCAACGCTGATAGATGTACTAGTATGCAGTGAAGAGCAGACGAGGCTGAGCCCCACGGATACTGGTGCAGACGTGTGCCTAATTCCCTTTCCTAGCGGAGGGTGACAATAAGACCAGAGACGCCAGCTTAATAAAAAACAGGTTTGATACTGGACCAGTGAATTGTCTGTTCTGATCAGTTGAATATCTGATCCGTTCAAAATGGGCTTCGCTGCACAAAATGAGCAGTCGTGATCAGTTCAATATGGGCCTCGCTGCACTTCCCTCCACATGCAGAAAAGACAAAAAATATGGCGGTGTATCTTGCCTTGTTCTAGCGGAAGATTCATTCCCATTTTGCACATTTGGAGGGTAGTGCACCGCAGCCCTATGTGTTCCTGCCTTGTTTTCCGATCAGTTCAACATCTGATCATCTGATCCAGACGTTGGCTTTTGATCTTTCAATTTTCGTTGTGTTCCGATCAATTCAATATCTGATCATAAGATGTGGATGTTGGCTTCTTCTTTTCTTTTCTTTATAGGGGGGGGGGGAGAGGCTGGTCGCATTTATTACAAATAACAGAAATTCAGACGAGGCCGGGGACCTGACAATTCGACCCGGGTAACCGTACTACAGGCGCCTTTGCTTCGATTTCAGAAATTGAGTGGTACGACTGCTAGGAGTCGCTTGACTCAGCTCCAAATAACTACAGTTGAGGACTCAGACCTGTTGAATCTTTGGAAAGCCCTCAAAGATATGCCATCCCAAAGACAGGCGGCAATACAGTGGTTACATTCTCTGCAGATCACCCCTACAGCAACGTGGTTGAATACAAAGGGGATGGATCTTCCATCCACATGTGCACGCTGTAACTGGGGATGGGAAACGGCAGTTCATCTTTGGCTTTTCTGCCCGCTGTCAGACATGCTCTGGGAGTGGTGGAAAGAGTTTTGGAAGAACACGACTCTGGAATTTCAGTGGGACGATGACTTCATCCTASATGGCAAGCTTTCAAAAAAWGGTGGTTTTAGTTYTGGTGGAAACTACGTGGCCTTATGCTGTAGAGGAATTTTGATGGAATCAATATGGTCTGCGCGAAACTCCCTGGTATTTCTAAATGAGGAGGTTACCCGACAGCAGACAAAAAA